GCAAGAAGCTTAAAATAATGTGCTACCAGGACCCTGGCCTTCATAATATTTTCCACTCAATAACTCCAAGCACAAATTTTCCACTCACAACAGAAAACCTGTAAGAGGAGCGGCATTATTGTAAAGCACAACAGTAAATTTCTTCTGAGGTACAGACAAAAAAATTTCACTGCAAAAAAAAATTCTAAACATAAGGATAAGGCTTACATTTTTTCCACTTGTGTTCTTCAACTTTAATTTATACCACTGCCACCCTCCTTCTCCTGGTCAGCATTCCACATCGGGAATGCAAGGTTGGAAAAGGGGTAGGGAGACATGAGTCTCCTCAAAGGATTTCTGGTGTAACCTTTTCAATAATTTACAGAGATGATGCCATCATGGCTCACCAATTTCAATAACACACTGTGTGTTGCTCAAAGGGCGAATACAGGATAAATCCTTAAGGTCCTGGAATGTCTGAATACCCGACGTTCTTAAATTTTTCAGGACAGCTGTGCCTATTGAGACTTTTTTTATGTGTGTGTAAAGCCAACAACAGAGCTGTGAAACCCTGGGAGCCCATGGCAGAACTCACCCCAAACGCCCTCAGAGCAGGTTATTGCCCTTGTCCCAGTCAGCGCTCGGGCTTTCTGATCCCTTCTCGTGTCTCGGGGCTCCTCGAACACCTCACCGCACCAAAGGATGCGGGGCAAAGCCATGACAGCTGCGGGAGGCTGGAAAAGGCATCGCCGTACACGCAGCACCCACCTCCGCTCCCACAGCCCGAGGGAGCCCCGAAACAGCCCTGCTCTCTCTGTCAGCCGTCCCGGAGCCCCGGCACAGCCCGGTTCCCACTCTGAGCTCTCCAGGAGCCCCGGCACAGCNGGAGCCCCGGCACAGCCCGGTTCCCACTCTGAGCTCTCCAGGAGCCCCGGCACAGCTCGGTTCCCACTCTCAGCCCTTGACAAGCAAGGGTCTGGAGCGCCTGCCTTGGCAGCTGGGAGCTCACACCCAGCTAAGCACACAGCCCTTTTACTATAGTTTTGCCACAGAAACAAACACACATTTTACTATAGTTTTGCCACAGAAACAAACACACAGAACCGGCACAGCCCTCTCTCACCCCTCCCCGAGCCCCGAAAACAGCCCTGTTCTCTCTGTTAGCTCTCCCGGAGCCCCAGCACAGCCCAATTCCCCCTGTCAGCCCTCTTGGAGCCCCAGCACAGCCCGGTTCCCACTCTCAGCCCTCCCGGAGCCCCGGCACAGCCCGATTCCCCCGGTCAGCCCTCCCGGAGCCCCGGCACAGCCCGGTTCCCACGCTCAGCCCTCCCGGAGCCCCGGCACAGCCCGGTTCCCCCGGTCAGCCCTCCCGGAGCCCCGCGGCCTGGCCCGGCCCGGCCCTCACGGCGGCCCCGCGGCGGTCGCTCGGTAACGGGGCAGCCGCGCTGGGCCGCACCACTCGCGGCTGGGCTGGGCGGGACGGATCCCGCGGATCCCCACAGCGGCACTCCAGCTCCTCTGATGGCGAAAGCACAAAAAAATAGGAAAAAACTTTTTTTTTTTTTTTCCCCAGTAAGCGTCGTTTTCAGGATTCCCACTGCGGCCGCAGAGCAGAGGCACTTCTTTCCCTTTAAAAACTCTCATCTCTGAACGCCTAAATTGTTCTTACTTGGTTTAAAACAGATTTTGAAAGGTTTATTACAATACTATTTTTTTTAAAAGCCCCGTTTTTTCTCTTCCGCCCCTCTCCCCTCCCCACTTATATGTTCTTACTTTCAGCTTTAAAGAACCATCCCTTGGAAAGTAATCCTGGAAAACCTTTCTTCAGAGTATTTTTCATACCACCCATAAATTATGAGGGTTTTTTACCTAAGTGAGTGCAGGGAAGAAGGGAAAGCAAAGAAAGCAATCTTTTCTTCCTCCCCCCCCCCCCCCCCTTCAGACAGGAGATCCGGACTAAGAATAAAATAATTCACTTTCAGTTTTTCTAACACAGAGGTAAAATGTGTCCAAAAGTAGTGCAACATTCATTTTGGATAAAAATGTAAGCAAGAAAAGCTTCAGATCATAAAATTCAGGTCCCAGAACATAGTTCCCATACTTAGTAAGATGTAATTGCTTACAGTGAGAAAAAACTATTCCTATACCCTTGACATGATGTCTTAAATATAGGCTTAATATAGAGAGCCACAATTTTTTCCACAATGAGTTTTTCCCTTATATATTCTAAGAATAAAATTGTTCACTTTCAGTTTTTCTAACGTAGAGGCAAAATAGACTATTTCTCCTCACAATTCACATGTACCTCAGTCTGTTTGGACAGTGGCAGCTGAGTGCAAACCAAAAACCATACCTGCTTCCACATCAGAGGGTCTAAACATGATGCACCTCTACAGATGCACTCTGTAAAGTTTCCTGGGAAGCAGCAAATGAGTGGAAAAGGTAAGTGAAAAGAGGGGACTATCAGCCATAAAAACCTTCATATTTCCTTGGGAAGGCTGATATAAATAAAGAATGTTAACCAGGGTTTAAATACATGATTCTCGTCAAAGTTTCGTCACTGTATTCCAAATGTCAGATGAAAAATGTGTGGCCTGAGTGTCAAACTGTAGTAAAGGCATTGCAAACAATTTAATTATTTAGCAAAGGGAGGAGAAAAATTAGTTATTTCAAGCACTAATGGAATTTTAAAGTATTAATAAATAAATATTTACCATCAAAATTGGTTAGTGTTTGATAAGTAAACAATCCTACAATCACAGTAGCACAAAGAAAAGAAATTTATTTTATTTATTCCTCAAGTTAAAATGAAAGGTCTTTCAAAATCATGTGAACAAATTGGGATGTTTCTTTCCCAGTTTAAATACCAGACTTGAAAGAAACTCCAACTGTGGCAAATTGACAAGGGGTATATTGAGGAGGTATAAAAGCAAATGCACACAGCTATTGTTTAATTAAACAAACATCTCATGTGAAGTTCTGTGAATTCTCGGAAATAATTCTTTGTAGTCTGCTGCTGCTGTTATGTTTCCCAGCTCTCCCTATCTGTCCCACTGGGCTGACATCTGCTGTGAGTCAAGCAATGGTTTGCACAGGTGAGAATTTCCCAGGTTTTATTTTGCATCCATCTTCTTTCTGAGCGTTCTTTCAAGTGCTCACTCTGTGCATAAATAAAATGGGAAGATCACAAATTATTAATTCACACTATTGGTGTTTAAATCCAACGTAGAAAACCCAGACTCCTGGGCCTATTTTGGAAAAAGCCCCACACTTCAATGTACATTCAGAAGCAAAGCTCTTTCAATTGCATAAATGCTAGAAAGAGTGCTGGCTTTCAGGAGAAGATGCTGCAAAATGAAAGGAATAATAAAATATTCCTTCAGTCAAAGGAAGAGAGAGAAAGACTTGGCTCCCCACCAAGATGATGCAACATTGTCAGTGTGGCTTCTTCAGACTACTACAGTGACATTTTCTGGCTGCCTCTCAGACCCTCTTTCAATAGTTTGTTTAACCCTTTGATATTTTCACCAAACTCAGTGGGGAAGCAGATATCTTCAAGAAATGAAAATCCCTACAAATTTAGTGTGGACTGGGGCAGGAAAGACTGAAGCATTTGCCATTTTGAGGGAAAAGGATGCTGTGTGAGTGTGGTGGATGAGCAGAACCAATCTAGTGTGGAGTTAAGCAAATGCTGCCGCTTGCCTGAATGCTGCTCTGGGACTGTGGGGAGATAGGAGGGTGATGTGTAGGGAAAGAGGGAGCATTGCAACTCAGCAATCTTTGAGATTCACATATAGAGATGAGCTGGACTCAGAATGGGCATGGAAAGGGCAGCACTTGCCAGGAAAGCCAAATTCCTTCATTGTGCTGCTCAGCGGATGACTTGTTTCATCCAATGGCAGGATTTTCAGTGCACAGGCAATTAGTCATATATTTTTCCTAGTCTTTGACTTTCTTGGTAAACCTGGAGCACATCTGTGTTCTGGGCAGCCCTTCATTAAATTTGACTTGTCTAGTGATAGTAAATTGGAATAGGTGGTCAAAGATGTTTTGAGACAAGCTGAGGACTGTCATGCTTTGAGAAAGAGCCCTAGTACATGGTGGAAACTTTGGCTCTTTTTTAAAGCAGTTATCACTATTTTTCTAGAAGAGAATGTGATAAGCAAGGGTTTGGAGCACCTGCCTTGGCAGCTGGGAGCTCATACCCTGCTAAGCACACAGCCCTGTTACAATAGTTTTGCCACAGAAACAAAAAGGAGGAGGAACAACAAAGAATGATCTGCTGACAGGTGAGGGGACTGCCAAGGAGATGTCTTTGGGAAACCCTGGATGTCTGGAATCTACATCCCAACAACGAGGTACCAGTGGATCCAAATGCAATGACACCTTGCAGCCTATAGCATTGGGATGAAATGCAGACTGGCTGTTTCTTCAGATGCTGGATAAGAGGATGAAATTTAGAGAGTATTTGGAGTCGTCTTTGGACAGGAAGAGCAGATTCCCTGTTTATCCCAGACTAGAAGTTTTCTTCAGCACTGGCAGCTGTGCTCAGCTGGGCTTGGTGGGACATGCAGGCAGCTGGCTCACCTGCAGCAGGATTTTCCAGCTTCCTGATTTCTGGCTCTCAGGGATGTATGCTCCCTGTGGGAAGCATGTGCAGAGCTGTCGAGAGCAGAAGCAGTGCAGGCAGCTTGAGTCACATTCCTCCAACTCGGCTTCTCAGCAGAGCACTTATTCTAGGGCTGTATTTCCCCTTGATTGATTACCCCTGCCATTGTGGGGCTGACATCTTACAGGGGAGTCCTGCTTGGTCCCTTATCGTGGGACCATGAGGAATGATCATTCCCTAGCGACACCCGTCGATAACAGTGAATAATAGCCAGGAAGGGAGGCAGACAGCAGTAGGAACATGCTCAAGAGAGGTGCTGTAATTCTTGGGACAGGGCGCTTCTGCAGAGGAGGAGGAGAGCTTGCAGGGTGGACGGGAGGGGGGGGTCCTGTCACTGCTGATGCTCTCTAGAGCTCAGCAGCTGGAGAGAAACATTGGCTAAGGATGGTCAAAGCTGGGAAGGGAAAAGAGCAAGGAGGGAAAAGGATGAAGTGAAAAGAGCTAGGAACCACGCTGGAGAGCATACAAACAGCCTGCTGACCTCTGATGCATGAGGGATGAAGAAAACAGACTGTGATTGACTATGTGGACCATCTGGGTGATCTTCTGGATTTCAACTGTCCCGGTAGGTGCTCAGATCTATTTATTCCTGTTTGCATGGAATCACATATTATCTGAGTAATTCTGAGCACCTCTATTCCATGAAGTTTTGGTGTCTGTTTAAAAAGATCTGCGTAGATTTTAAAATTTTATTATTGCTTCTGCTGCTTCCTGCACTAATTGACAGTGGCCAGACGACTAGATGCTGGATGCCTCAGTTTCCCCACCTTTATAAAGACAAAAGTGTTACTAACCCACTTTGACAAACACACAGGTTCTGTGATGAAGGAGAAAAGATTAGACTCCATTCAGAGAAGCATTACTGATTTACACCAGCAATCAATCCCTTAGTGGGCAATGCCCATATCTAGCATTCAGACTGGACTCAGATTGAAGGAATGTGAAGCAATGTTTATACCACAAAGTTTGGTTTATTTTTTTTTTTTTTAGCTTTATCACTTTACTGAGATTTATATGACAGATTGTCACTGCTGAGCTCCAGGTGCTTGGATCAGTCAGAAAGGAGAGTGGAACCTGGGCTGTGATCTCCAGGTGCTGCTCAGGTTATTCAGATTTTAAATGCATATAAAACAAGGGGTGAAATACGTCTAGCTTGGGTATAAGAAGTTGGGAAAGGATCAAATCACTGTTTCATTTCAACAAATGGAAAAATCAATTTATTTGTCCCAGCAGGGGATTTGGTTCCAACTGAGAAAAACTGAGCTCTGCCTAGACATTTTAATTGCAGACTGAATGCAATCTTCAAACCTTTTTCCTTTTGATCATCTTCTGCAATAAAAACTGTGACTGATGGTTTTCTTGTCATTTTGGTTTCTTATTCTTAGTACTACCTAAAGGACTCTGTAAATAGATGTCACTGCTAAGGGTGTCCCCAAGAACACCTCCTTCTAATCTTTCAAAATACCTATTTTGATGTTGCCAGGCATCTTTTGCTCCTGAAATCCTCTCATTACACTAAATCCACTTATTTTAAAATGAAATGGCTGTGAATTCTGAATAATGTTTAGATCCATTCATTTCACACTTTAAAAACTGTGTTGGCTGTTGCTATCAACACTGCAGCTTTCTGCCCGTTCTGGAGATCTATTTATCACAGTTATATCTGTTTGGAATGGGTTTGGTATCTCATCTTTAACCAAAATATGAGGATGTCTTTGTCCTGGTTTCAGCTGGGATAGAGTTAATTATCTTTTTAGTAGCTGGTGAAGTGTAAAGGAAAAACAAAACTGTTTCAGGGAACTGTTTAGGAAGAGACATAGAAACCGCACGTAGAGGAGCCCCTTTTCCTGCTGGTTCTCAAGCAGCAGGGGCAGGCTGTTTGCTCCCACTTGTGGATGGTAAACACCAGTGAGACTGAGCACAGCTGGTAGCAGAGTGGGGTTATCCGGCCACGGCATGGGAAGCAGATTTCACATCTCTCTGCAAACATCCGAGCACTCACACCCAACCTGCCCCCTCGGATGCCAGTGTTGGCAAAGACTGCCTCAGGGGCAGTGCTGGTGGAAAACAAGGTCTTTAAATCCACTCCTGGTAGCTCTCTGCTTTCCCTGCACTTAAAATCCTTTTAGTTGCACATCTATTACCAGGAAGTGGTATTCAGCTGATTAGAAGAATAGGGTGGGCATCACTTTGTGGGGTAAAAGAGTAATTGTAAGGCACTACCTATGCTGTATTCCTGCTTGAACAGCACATTTAGTGTAGGAAAGTAATGCTGTATCAGATAATCAGGGTGATCATCACATCTGGGTGTGCTAAAAGTGTGTGGCCTCACTCTAGCCATAAAGAAATAACACAGAATTTAAATCTTTCTAAAACAGAAACTTTTTTAGGACCCACATTTCTTAAAGGAAAACAGTGCCCACACAATGTATAGGCTTTTTTTAAGATGGAGTATTCCCCTGTTCTGAGATCATTGTTAACATGATTCCTAGCATTTATTTTTACATATGTTTAGTATCATCTTAACAACCCACACGCAAACGAGAATGGTTATGTTGGCCATCAAATGTTCAGCATTCAAATCCTGGCATCAGAAGAGAGTTTCTTTCATATAAAGTCTTTGCATGTGTGATTCCAGAAAATTCATTACATTGTGCAAAACCAGGTGGTTCCTAGTTCACTTATTCCATGATACACAAAGACAAGGGAGAAAGATACTGAAGTTAAACACACTAGACCAATTAAATGAGGTATGATACACTGTGGAAAAGATCAAACTCTGTTCAGAAATACAATACTCAAAAAAATTCAAGCCAAAATAGTGGGAATATGGTCTGTAATGTCTGGTATGCTAAAATTTAATTGTAGAAAAGTAATAGTTCTCATTACAAGCTTTTCAGGGATTGTTTTTTCTCCCAAATCTAATCTGAAAGTGATCAACAATGCTACAAGATTTATTAGGTTGAGCAATAATGTGATGTTGCTGGGTTAACTTTCTTGAACAAAGAACATAAACAAATTCTGTCTGGTACTTTTCAACTAATAAAGCCTGATGACTTGCTTTTAATGTCTTCATTATGTGTATACATATATTGCATTTATATATATGTACATAAAAGTTCCATAGTGAGAATTTATGGAGATTTTGGGTTTATCCATTAGAGAGAAATTATCTAATTCATTATAATGGGCATCCACTTATATTCAGATTTATTGTGTCAAAAAGAATAGACATAAGTAAAATAACAGAAAGGGTAAAAGTACTTTTTTTTCTGAATGACATAACTATTAAGACCTTGTCCTGCAAATAATTTTGCAATGATTTTCAATACTTGTCATTTTAATGGTCTGTATCTGCTTGTTTTTTTCACTCATTTTGGTCCAGCTGCATAAAATATAAACACACATTTAATTCAACATAAGGATTGAGTGAACACTAACATTTCCACATTATTTTATGAGAAAGGCAGATGGGAAGATGAGAAAATGACCTTAGGACAAGTTACCAACTAGGTTCTCACGAAAATCTGGGTGAGATTCTGCTTTCAGGTGGGCTCCTGCAGCTACCAGATGGTAGCAATGAAACAGGCTTGGGTGGTCTGCAAGCAGTGGGCATATTTGGATCACTTGTGCCCAGGAAAATGACCTGCCAGGTGTATGGTTTAACACTGCCATGGGTGAGTGATTAATTCTCTGTTACTCTAGGAGACTCCAGCAGTGTCCTGGATATTTCTGCAGTCTTTTGGAAGAGTATCCTGTTCATGTACTTAATTTAGCAGAATAACTCATTTTTCTCAATGTCAGTAATGTTAGCAAAAGGCAAAAGACAAACTCAGTCTGTGCTTGCCTGCTGCTACTATAAAAATGCAGACTTAACTGGGAAAATTATCGGTATTTCAAGGAAATATTCCCCACAATCACGTGATAGATTTGCATGGGAATGTAAGCATAAAAAGGGTAGAGTCTGTTGAGATTTTATAAGTTTTAAGAGGAAAAGTGATTCCACTGCTTTTAAAATTTGTAGATCAAAGCTATTCCACCTGTCTGTGACCTTCTGAGTGTCCTGAAAAGGGAGGAAGAAAAATGTGTGGAGACTCTTTCCCTGGAGGAAAGGAACCAAACGACTGAAAATGATCTGCTCCTGAGCTCAGGTAAAGGCTAAGTAAATGCACATGACAAAAGCTGCTCTCACATGAGCTGGGTGCCTCAAACTCAGATATCCCAGCAACTCTTCCCATAGGAGGTATGCACTTAGTATACCTCTCTCCTTTGGGAGCAGAAAAACAGATAAGATCTGTTACAAGGCTTTGGGAGCAGGATTTTGACCTTACTGTGACAGGAAGACTTGTGGGAACCTTCTAACCCAGTTGCTTGACTGCAATCCTCACAACTAGGGAACACACCAGCAACAAAATCTTGCAAATTGCAATCATCTCTTCCTGGACAAGGATAATTTAAAAAATCACCCCAGCAAGTACAAATTAACTTAACTACATTTACCTTAAAAACCAATGACAACCAGCAGCCAACATTTAAATCACATAGTCTGATCATCCTCGTTGCTTCATCCTTGTTCCAAGTTACTTTCACCTAACAGAGTTCTTGAATATCAGCAAGTATTTGTCATCATATAAAGGAGTTTTTTTGGCCTGGGAAAGTTGGAGTACTGAGCCCTCATCATGTAGAGAGCTTTGCTTTCTCAGCTGAGCAACTGGGGTCATGTGCAAGAGAGTATTAAACTTTGCCTGTGAACTGCATGCTAGTTCCCCCAGGCAGCTGCTGGGTCAGCATCTTGGAGAGAACACTGGGTGTAGGCAACACTTGTGACTATTTTCTGTGTGTGACCAGCCATCACCACTAAGGATGGGGTTGTGTCACTCACAGCATCTTGCAGACTGAACTGATTCTGGGTGACCTTTATGGACAGTAACATGGGCAAGGTTCTCACCAGCCTGAGGGGAAGGAGCTCCCATGAGATGATCCTGGTCACAGATAGGCTACCATGTGGAAATAGAGTTAAGGTGTTTTTTTAGTTTCAAAGCCTTCCTCTCTAACAGAGAGTGTTGGAGAGACACAGAAGAATCTCACTATGACTTGGCCCAAGGGCAGAACACAGAGGGAGGATCTATTGCCTGGCTTTTTAGGATGTCTTGCATTTGTCTCTGTCACTATTTTATCCCTTGCAGATTGAAGGGTGTAAGCACAGCTTCAGGGCATTACAGCCCTGTAGCAGTGATAGGATACCTTATGGCAGGCTTCCAGGTACTCCACAAGGCAGACCTGTCTCATTGCATGTAAGAAGTTTGATGATATGAACAAATCAGTATTGTTTGTTTCCTTCAGTGAAGAGGAGGGTGGTTTGTCAGCCTATTTCTTTTTCTGCTTTGATCCTGTGATATGGCTGGCTCTAATGTTCAGCTCTGTGTTTCCTTGGCACCAGAGCTCCACAGCAGATGCAGACAAGTAAAACTCCACAGGACCATGCAGGTGTGGACCTGCACTAGCATTAGCAGGCAGTACCATTTTACAGACAGTCTTGTTTAATCTCAGTCAAATAGTAGCTTCTTAGCAGAGACTTAATCCAATTTTAAACTGGATCCACATGTTAAAATTCACCTAAGTCCGTTTTTTATTGGAAATTTTATATGGGATTATTCTACCTAAAATTCTACCAAACTCTAAGAGGGGTTTGTTACCTTGGTAAATTAGGGAGTAATGCTTCTATTCTGGGAAATAACACACCTGCAAATACCTCCCTTAAGCCTTTAAGGTGTCTTCATGCGTCAAATCCATGTGGAGAAAATCCCATATAAGGATTTCAGTTTGAAGAAGAGAGAAACAAAGCTGAGGAATTCAGTGTGTATCTTTGGTGGGTCATGCAGGGAGGAATAAAGGTGGCTGGGTGTTGGGCACCTTCCACACCTCATTCTTCCTGCATCTGCCTCAGAAGCCTTGACTGGCACAGGCAGGAAAAAAGACAAAGCAGGGAACAAGCTCTCACCATGTCATCTCTGCTGCAATGCTCACATCTCTGTGGAGATGGCATAAACAAAGGAATTAATTGCTGGGGAATCAGGTAAAGTACCTAAGCATTGAGTGTTTCTTATCCTCCTACAGTAAAAGGGAAAAGGGACTCTGCTTTTATAATAACATTAGCTTGGGAAAGGGAGCACTGTAATATTAACACAACCCAAGGCACTGTTACGCTCTTTTTTGTGCATGAGTGAAGACAGGAAAATTCTCTTGGGAGCCAGGAGCAGGGCAGGGAAGCCACTGGAGACCTGGAACCCCTGATCATAGTGACACCGTGTATTGCTGCTGGGAGAATGCTCTGAGTGCTGCTTGAGGGAGATCCCAAAGAGCCCAGGGCCATGTGAGGGAGATGTTGCTGTGCTTTGTATCCACCCCGAGGCTCTTTATTTAGCTGGGAGTGGGAGACACCAACTTTCATCCATGAGGAGTGGCAAGAAGCCCACCTACAGGAGGAATAGCTCAGCTGGTTTTTGTTTTCTCTTCCCGGATGGAAACCACCCAACATCATAATTTTGCCAGGTGTTTCTGTGGATTGGGTCTGATTTGGGAGTTTTATGCCTGTGATGTTGGCATGAAGGTTCGATAAACCAAACAATGCAGCACATTAAGTTATAAATATCACCCAAGGTGAAGTTTTGCTTGCCTTTAAACTTTTGCTTTGAAGTAAATCCTTTCCAAGACTTATAAACGTTGGCACAGGGAGGACACCAGGGCTGAGGTGCCTCCCTGGCTGTGAATAGCTCTGTATTTTCAGGCACTAGGACTGTTGCACAGGAGGAAATTAATACATTTCTAGAAATGTAAATATTTTTGTCAGGCTAATGGAGGTTGGCCTTATAAAGCAGGAAGTGTTTGAGGAGAGTACTTGGTCAGCACTTCCTCCCCACGTCTGGATACAGCAGGCTCAGGGTAGTCCTGACATGCCCCAGTGGCCTTTTTCCCCTGTTATGTTGCAGAAATCTCAAAGAACGCTGTGCTAAAACCATTGACAGGGAGTGGAGGCAAAGGGGAATGAGTCTGAATTATTTCAATCTCTATCTGGAGCAGAGTGAAATAAGAAATGGTAGGATTGCAGTTTCTCCTTGAAAGAGCATCAAATGTAGGTCTTCTCCACTAATGCTCTGCACCTCAGGCCAAAATTAATCCATGCCAGCATCCAGCACCTAAGCAAGATGTCTAAGTAGAGATCACCATCATACTCTGCTCCATTGGTCACCAGATGAGCTCCCTGATGCATCTCTACCAGCCCTGCCAGAAGGCAATACAGCTGGAAAAGTCTCCCTCCCTCCCTGACTGTGAGAGGGGACCATGACAAGCCCATCCTTAAAATAGGCAGCCCTAGCACCTAACTGAATGAAATGGGGTGAGTTGGGGTGAGTCTGGGCAGCCAAGCTCAGTGAGTGGTCTGTTGGCATTGTTCACTTCACCACAGCCTGAGCACAGTGAGAGAATTTATGGTGATAAAATTTATTTATGTCGATAGAAGGAAGACATCGATGCTGTTCCTCTCTATCTTTTCCCCAGTATGATGAGATTAGCTCAGCTGGTTAGAGCATACTGCTAATAATGTCTGGGTTGTGGGTGTGATCCTCAAATGGGCCATTAACTTACGAGCTGTACTCTTTTTGTGGGCCCCTTGCAACTCAAAATAGTCTGTGATTTAAGTGATCTGTGGTTTAAGTATCAACCTGAAGCTGTTTGAACTCCTAGTCACAGAATCACAGAATGAGTAAGGCTGGAAGGGACCAATGGATCATCTGATCCCACCTCACTGCTCAAGCAGGGTCATTTAGGTACATTTTTTCTTATTTGCAAAACTATTATGTAAGGAAAACATTAGGAAGACTCAAAGTGGAAGCTTTAGAAAGACTGAAAGTAACTTTAAAAATTCGCATCTGATTTCCTTCATATTTCCAGGGCCATTCGTAGTTGCCAGCAAACAGTTAGGGAGCAAAAGGCCTGATGTGAAGTTCAGAATTACTCTAATTGCTATTTGTGTGTCTAGTAGAGACCAATGGGATCAATGACAAGAATAAGACAGGTCTGGGATCTTGCTGGGGCTGGTTTGAAGCAATCAGGACCTGCTCTGTCCTATCCAGGTCTCAGCAGGACTTGCTCTGTCTCATCCAGCTTGCTTTTTAGAGCACTGAGCATCTTTGTTCCTGTAGCTGCCTTGGTGCATGGGACATGTTGTGCTTCTTGGAGATGTTTCCCAGTGTTTCATTTTTGGAAGAAACTTCATGGTGTTATGTCACTGGAAGATGCTTGTATAATACAAGATGCATTTCCTTGTTGCCCCCCCAGGCAGATGTGCTGGAATGTGGGATAACATGAGCTGCTGGCCTTCAGCCACTGTGGGACAGACTGTCAATGCTCACTGCCCTGAATTCTTCCAGATGCTGACGGGGAAAAAAGGTAATGCTAAAATCCTAATTTTTTTGCCCAGGTGTTTTTTATTAAATACTTATTTATTAAACACTTTATTTTATATTTATTTACAAAGACACCACAATCAGGTCTGAATTTGAAATGAAATTTTCTTTAAAAGAACAATAGTTACTTGGCAGCTGTTTGAACACTGCGCTAAACATGAAAAAGTTGGGAATTAAAGTAGCAAGATCTTTTAAGTGTTTGTTTTTTCTAGCCAGATGGGAAAAAGTGCAGGAATTATTTGCTATCCTGAAAAGCAGGTTTTTAGCATGGTTCTTAAGGAAAAGGGTTTTCTCCATTCAAGTTCTATGTTTATTTCTGTCTTTCCCTTTTAATACGTCCTAGAGCCAGTGGCTGGTCCCAGAGGAGCTTGATGGGGACAAAAGCTCACACAGCATTAGGTTCACACAAATTTTGGCAAAACATCCAGCTAGGGGGGCAGAAAAGATCCTCTTTTTTGCCTTCATTAAGAGGAAATCTGCACTGGGGATTTCTCTCTTGCCTGTGACAGGATCCATACAAGTGGCACATGGAAATTCAGGTTTCATGGCGCACCAAACAATTCAGTCAAACAGAGGTGAGCTCGAGCTCAAGCTTTTTGTCCTTTTTCTGGGATATCTAAGCTAGAAATGAAGTGAAATTTACTCCCAGTAAGCTACAGTAATCATGAGGTATTAAGTAAGCCCACTTTCTGTTCTTTTCTGCTTTTCAGTAATGCCTAAGAAATGTTTACATTTCTCTTTAGGGAGTTGATGGTTCAAATGAGAAGAGGGTTTTGCATTCTTCAGTTATAGGGCACAGATTAATGAGGTTCAGTACTTACAGAAAAGCAGACAGATTCATTTTATGAAAGGAGGAACAGGAGACAAAGTATTAGATTGTCTAATAAAGATTACATAACTCAGAGGAGAAGCACTTAGTGCTCTTTAAATGAAATCAGACATGAGCCACTCAGATTAAAATACTAGCTTGCTACTTTCAGTACCCACGAACATTATCTGCCCTTTGAGCCCGTTAAGCTGGTTTAAAGCCAAAGGATAAACTACACAAAGGCATAGATCGCTGAAGAAACCATCCATCTGGCATCCACATCTTTAGTGATCCCGGCCCTTAAACGCAGTAACTGAAATTCCTGCTGGTACAGCCACTAGAGGGAACTGCTCCCTGCCTCTGGCCTTCTCACCGGGGAAGAAAACAGGAATTTGTACAGCCAAAGGTCGTAATTACATCTCAAATGTTCATTGCCTTATCTTCGGTATAGTCAGCTTAAACTTTAGTAGCCCTCCTTATCAAGAAGCTGATAAACAATATTGTCAGAGTGACAGAACCCCAAGACCTGGTCCATCATCATTAGCATCTTATTTCAGTCTCTGCATCTGGCATTTTGGGTCAAAGTCAGCAATAGTTTAATCTCATTCTCATGGCCACTTTCTTCTTTGATTTTATACCGTGGTTGGCTTGTGACTTCTCTGCTTGTTTATTTACTGCTACAGTCATTGCCCTGTTTGAAACAATTTTGAAAAAGAAAAGCAAAGATCTGCTTGCTTCAAAAGAAAAGCAAAGGTTTTTCTCTCCTCACCACTTACAAAGCAGATGGGCAGCCACAAATGCCAAAGGCTCATATGTTAAGCCATGTGAATGGCTCTGAGCTCTGCCCAAACCTTGGTCTCTGTGCTCACATCTGGACTTGCATTTGCAGCCCAGACTGTCTGGTCCTTTTCTATGTAACAGATCAAAGAAACAAGATTATCTGGAGCCAAGTAACAGAACTGACCATGATGTCTCAGGCAAGGAATGAAGGAAGGTGTGAGAATCCTGAGGATTCAGAGGCAAAGGCCACATCAGATGGCTCCAGTTCCACAGCTATCCCTTTAGACAGAGTTCCTTCTTGCCTAGGCAATTCCAAAGTACCAGTAAACACCAAACCAAATTCTTAGACAGACTGCAGACCCCCAGTCTGCTCTGCTGCAGTTTCCCTAGTGTGTGTGTCACCCATAACGAAGGAGCATTGCTAAAATTTTCCTCATGTCCATCCATCCAGGCATAATCTGTGCTTTGCATGTAATGCAATAGCATGTGCACACCAACAGAACTTCATCTCTTCTTGTCTGATCTGCTTTGACAGCCTCGAGCACAAAACAGTCACAGGCATGTTTACAAGCACAGTGCTTTGTTCCAAGTTAAGTAAGTGTGTCTTAATAGTTGATGCTAAAGTAGAGAGTCTGTCACCACACCACCTCCTTGCTGGGTGCCAAGATAGGCTGGGGAGAACCTTTTGGGAGAGCTGTTTCTTTCCTGCTGTTGCTGCATTGCAGCAAAACATAGAAAACCTGGCTTATAAAGCAAGCCTGGCCCTTTCAAAGATGCTAAGATGGAACAAGATGTTAAAAAAAGCATCAGAATAATAGCCTGATAAGGACACATCCAGAGCTCTTCCCACTCAGTTTTCTAAGCATGTTTGCTGTGCCTTGCAGATTTACAGAGGTGAGTTCAAATCAAGTGCAGACATGCTGTCAGGTCACCAGCATTAGCCCAGAGATAGCAGGAGCCCTGACTGTCCTGACAGTTCCAGCAGGGTGCCAAAGAGGATAAACCACTGCCAAACACGGCTGCATATGCATCTCCCTCAGTTCCCGTAGCACTGCAGGGATGTTTTGCAAGAGCCAGACACCCTAAAGTCCTCATGGCTAAATGTGTGGGAGAAAAATATGGTGCCCTCTGGCAAGGCTTGTACTAAGAAGGACTGCTGGTTTCATGTTCCCTTTAAATACCTGCTAGCATTGCCATCACTACAACAAAGCCAGGATTTCACTCCATGTTTCCAAAGTATGAGTCTTAACAGACAATGTGATGATCCTTAACAGATCAATGTGATTAGGACAGGGGGCAGTGGTTTTACTTTTTTGTAAAAGTTTCTCTTCAGCATGTAACATATACACCTGTTAGGGCCACTTTCTTCCAGTGACATTGTAAGTGTTGCTGGGCAGGACTTGCCACTTTCTCTTCAGGGCCAAACATGGACAAATTCAAAACTATCCTATTCAGCCATGTGCAACTTGCTGGGCATTCATCTCACTCAGCATTAGGAGTCTAAAAGTCAGACATCCCAGCAGAAGAGGGAAAGACAAACTGCTCTCTATGGATACAAGACCAATGAGAAAAATGAGAAATTTTACTAGAAAAATTAGTTGAATTCTGTAAATGCCTATTTTTCTCTGAAGACAGCCACAAGGGACACAGTCGGACCCAAGTACTCAGCTTTCCAGAAGTTGAGCTTAAGTGAGGGGAATTTCTTCCTAACCTTTAATTCACAAGCAAGCAAGGAAATCAACAGTGTAAAATGATGCCCAGTGTGGGGAAAAGACTCAGTACTCATTTAAATCCTACTGAAAATCTGTGACCATCTACAGTTTTGTGTTCTATTTGGAGCATGACAAACCACAGTAAGGAGGTGGGAGCATTCGGCAGAGTATCAGGTTTTCATGGATTTTGAATCTATGATTGAACAAGTCATGTGTTTGCTGATCTTGGAAGAGTGGCCAAGAAACACCAGATGTACTGAGCAGTATTATTTATGCTGCAACTAATAAAAACACATCCATCACAGTCACCCCTGAGTGGGCAAACAATATTACGACCCACACAAGTACACTGGGCAAGTATCAACAGAATCAGCTCAGCTGCATTTCACCTCCAGCTATGCAGAGTGTACTGCCTGAGGTAACATACTCTCCTGGCTCCTGGAGCAACCCTACATGGTGGCTGAACCCCGAGGACAACAAAGATACAAAAATGGAAATAGTCATACTCCATTCTGTCTTTTTTTATTGTTACCACACAGGTTTTGTGTACCGAAACTGTACAAGTGAGGGCTGGTCAGAGCCGTACCCGAGACCTGACATTGCTTGTGGCTACAATGTCAACGACACAACCAACGAGGCCAGAGTGAGTCTGAGTGTCCATGACCACAGATCTGCTGCTCTGGGACCGTGGGGAGAAACACTTTTAGGAGAGACTGATTGATGTTGTGATTTAACCCAGGTGGAGCTATTGCTATTGGTGGTTTTCAGCATGAATACTTCCTGCAAATGATTGGAAGTGGTTGCTCAGGGTGCGATTTCAGTAGCTGATTTTACAAGAAGATTTATTCATTAAATAGGAGGAGGGATCTTTCTTTTGGTGTGGGCTGATCTCTATCAGGCAGGCAAGGTAAAGATGTGATTATATGCTCCCCTGCAGCGTTCCTATTTCATGACCCTGAAGACCATGTACACTGTTGGATACTGCACCTCCCTTGTGACACTGATGATAGCCTTGGTGGTCCTGGCCTCCTTTAGGTAAGGAGAAGCATCTCTGGTTTGTGTTTGGCCAGGACTTCTGGTCATCTCAGCTGACACAAATCCTTCTATTGACTTTCTGGGCAAACTAGAAATGGAAGTATATCTGAAAACCTTCACAGAAATCAGTGAAAAAATTTAACTCTGGATCTTGTCTCCTAGAAAATGTCAGGGCTGCTCATTACATTGTGCTCTCCTTTCCAAATCATAGCTGGATGCATGTTGCAAATGGCATTTGCACCAACTCCCTGCTGAGGTCTTCCCATGATTTCAGTGTCCCTTGGGCATAGTGTCTTTCCCCCTGCTACTCTTTTCCCACTTGAGACTGTGGCAAAAACTTTGTTCTAAGTGCCACTGCACTAACTTCTGTCAAGGTGTTTCAGGTTTCTATTAGCAATCTGACATTCAGCTTATCTTCACTCATCCCTGTAACCTGGAATTTGTACTGTGCTGCTTATTCAGTGAAATTCATTTCCCTTATTGTAAATGTCAGGGTGGCACCTCTGGGCAAAAGGAAACCTAACTACTTTGCAAATTTATATTCAGGCTGCATGGCCTCTGGACACAGATTATGTGGAGATTTAATACAGAAAACACTGCAGGCACAAGTGCAATGTGCCGGTAGAATAAATAAATTCATCCAGGAGTGAATAAACACCTTGGGTTCATGTTACTACAGAAAGGAGGGAGGGATGCTAGAACAAGCATATTGGCATGAAATCACAACTTTCCTGGCAACGTTCAGCTTGTTTTAGTACCTGAGAGGAGCAGATATGACTGTAGCTTTTTAAGGTCTTCTCTAGGATATCCCTCTTGGGATATACGTTAGTCTTCCTTTCGCAGACAGAACAACACTGTTCTTCATTTGTCTGTTTATCACTACTAAGGATGGAAACCTGATGGTTACACCCACAGGCTCCTTACATTGGTCAGGAATGTCACCTCACTGGATCTCTCTTTTTCTTTTGCAGAAGACTTCGCTGCACAAGGAACTACATCCACATGCATCTCTTCACATCGTTCATTTTGCGAGCCTCATCCAACTTCATCAAGGATGCTGTCTTGTTTTCCTCTGAAGATACAAATTACTGTGGGGCATACACGGTAACCAGCTTGCTCCACCCCTCAATTTCCCAGCAGGATCCTAGCAGGATTTAGTGTACAGGGCAGGAAATCTCTATCCCAGCTTTATATTCATCATGAGGGGTTATGGTATGCTATGCCCTTTTTCTGAGAACACATTAAATATTGCTGACTTACACTGCAGGGTGAAACCTGATAGTAAGATAAGGGCTTGCACTCAGACACTCTGGGACCTCCAAAATTTTGAAATGTTTTTGCCTTTTTCTTTTTATTTGCAGCAAAATATTTTGAAAATTTGGGTGTGAGGAGGGGTGAGCAACACTGGAGATGATGGTCAATGCTTTAAACTAAAATATAAGAATTAGGGAGAGGAACAAAAATAGACTTGTTTTGTTTTGATTTATCCCACTGGTTTTGAGGAATTTTGTTGCAGAAAAATAACGTTTTGAGAACATTTTAGTTTATCTTTATCAATTGCTTTTCTTGAGAACAAAGGGATTGACAATACATTCACGTGCTTCTCTAAGGTGATATTAATGTGATATCTAAGGTGATATAAATTCCCCTGAGACAGTAACCTGAATCCAAGTATCCATGACACATTCTGTTCTTCTAATGAAGCAGTTGATTAATGCATTTAGGAGTGCCAGCTCTGCTTTCTTGTCATGTGAAGCCCTGTCTCAGGGACACCCATGTAGTCCCCTAATTGCTATAAAATCTCTATTTGCCAGGATTAATTTAGAGCTCTCTCTCTCTGTTAGAAGGTAGGCACAAACCCAGGCAGGAGCTAATTACCCTCTCTTTCCTCAGGCTGGCTGTAAGCTCACCATGGTCTTCTTTCAGTACTGCATCATGTCTAACTACAGCTGGCTCCTCGTGGAAGGACTGTACCTCCACACCCTCCTGGTGATTTCTTTCTTCTCGGAAAGGAAGTTCCTCTGGTGGTTCATTGCCCTCGGATGGGGTACTGGCTCTCCCTTCAGTGACAATAACTGGGTTTTTTCTGCCTTTGGGATGGATTTGTGAAGCAGTAACTGGTTTTTCTGATTGCAGGTGCCCCAACGGTGTTTGTGGCTGCATGGGCAACTGCTAGGCAACTCCATGAAAATATTGGGTAAGTGGTATGGAGTGGGGGAAGCTGGCATGCCAGGGAGAGCATGCAGCCCCTGTGCAGGCTGTTCCATGGGGTCCTGCTCATTTCTAATTTCTGGGAACAAGTAAATCAATCAACATCCTGCTGTGGTGGGAGCCTGGATCCTAGTGTGGGTGTGAGTAGAGGTACAGCTGAGCAACATGAGAAAAAGCTTCTGATTCCTTTTGAGCATTTTCAAGGGTAGGTGGTAGCCTTAAGGTATGAATTCACACCACGATGTTTTCAGTTTCTGTTTTTAACTTTCTGAACAGTGAAACTTTGTTTCTTTCTTTTCTCCCTTTCAAAATTTTGAACAGTGTTTGTACTTTAAGGAAAGGACCTATCTCTGTCCAGTGCAAGTGGGCAGTTTTCTGTCAGACATGTACCAGTCAGTGAGAACAGGAAATTAGCTTTGTAGAAAAGAAAATAGGGGCCTGTCTAAGGTGTAAAACAGACTAAACTTGTTTGAAAATATACCAGTGTTTTGATAACTGACTGCACGTTCTCATCTATTTTTACAGGTGTTGGGACATTAACACTGATGCCAATACCTGGTGGATCATTAGAGGCCCCATAGTTTTGTCTATTTTTGTAAGTCTTTTCTGAGGCAAGCAAATTCAAACTGTATTTTCAAATACTGTGAAGTCAGAGCTCATCTACTCAACATGCTTTAGAAGTGTGTTAATGAACTGATCTTAGGCATGTGTCTGAACCGGTGTGACCCATGAGTTACTGCTTAAGCAACTTCTGCTCAGCAGGACTTAGTCAGTAACTAATGCCCCAAAGCTAAATTCACAAGGAAAGCCAGAATGTCCTCCCAAGAAGCAGGAGCCTGAAGAAGATCAGGTTTCCACATCCTGTTGATTTCACATGAACTTGGCTGTTCTGTGGAAGCTTGTTTTGGACTGTTTCAAGGAAAGCTCTGGAGGAGAAATGAGTGGCTGTACATTTCAGTACACTTACTTTTGTGTCTGCTGGTCAATGCCTCTCTCAGCAAAGCCAAAACCAACTTGCCTTACATGACCACGGGCTTTTGTTTTCAGGAATGAAAACAGCTCACAGGCTGCACGCACCACAAATTAGTGGACAGCACCAAGGAACTGCTCAGTGAATTAAGGCACAGGCATTGAAACTCAGTGTGAGCCTGCTCAGTGCAAGGCAGTAGTGATGACACGAGCAGTTTGGTGTGTATAATACTCAGCACCTGTGTTTTGAGCATTTTCTGGTACTCTTCAGAGCCTTAGGTACCATGAGGCTGGAACTTCTTGGAACTATGCTTGGCACAGTTGCTCTGCCCGATGAAGATGCTCTGGGTCAGACCATGCTGCAATTATGTCAGAAACCCTAGCCCAGAAATGTGAACTGCTGGTTACTCTTAAGTAACCTGCTGACACTCCAGTAGAGACCCCAAGGGCTGGTTGAGGTTTTCACGTTTCCAGTAAGAACCATTTTGTTTGCAAAACAGAAACCGCAACACTTGCACACTTCTTGGAAACCCAGACAGCAGAGGTGGTGGGTTAAAGTTCTGCTCCTATTGACCAGTGAGCAATCCTGCATCCCCACAAGACAAGCAGCAGACCGCATAAGCAATTTGGGATCAACTTAATGAGGCCGTGGCATTTATTTTTCTGTATGAAACAACCCTCATGCTAGGAGCCACTTAGCAATACATAAAAGACAAAAAGACCCAGGCATTCTGCAGGACAAAAAGCACAATCTTAATTTATCTTTCTGTAGCCCCCACCCACTATTGCCTTCCAAGTGTCCTCAGAATGCTGATCCTTCCTTCTTTAGCTACTGAAGGCAGAAGCCGCCTGCATGACTGCAGGTTTTCCCCAAAAGAGGCTTTACTCAAGCCCATAACCAAACAAACAGCCAGATCTCAAGAACTCAGATCTAATCTCTGTATTCCTCACAGCCTTCAGCGGTTCAAAGGGCAGAAAATCAGCACCGATAAACACCTTTGTGCTCCCAGGCTCATTCCTGCGCTGCCTGCGGCAATTCCTCCAGGCAGAAATCCCGACGCTCTCCCTCCCTTGTGGTTCTTATCAGTAAAAGTCCTGCTCAGCCTACACGACTCTTCCCTGGCCTAATGAGTTAAAAATCCCAGAACACCCAGACCTGAACCTCTTTTGCTCCCCACCACCCCTGAAGTATTTCTTTTCTTCATGCTCTCCACCTCTAGCTCTTCCCAGCTCTACTCCTTTCCTCCTCCCTCCCCAGCTTCCCCAAACTTCCAGGCTCCCTCAGTAGCCACAGCTGCTCCGTTTCCACCCAGTAACTTTAAAGAGATCAGGGTCTTGCTGTGTCTGTCCCATCTCCAGGAGACCCGGTTCTTCTAGGGAGACCCACCACCCCAGAGCGCTGCTCCAATGCCCATCATGGGCATTGCAGAGGATGCACCTCTGCAGTGGTGTTTCCCGGCTCAGGGAAAGGTTAAGGGTTCAGGGTGTTACAGAAGGGGCACAGGTCTGCAGGCTGTGCGAGCCAAGGGCTGCTCAGCCCCGGGTCGCTCCCCACGGGGTACGAGGCAGGGGACAGACAGACAGACAGACAGACAGACAGACAGACACGCTCAGGCGGCTCTGCCTCCCCTGCAGCTCTCGCTCTACGCCTGAGGGTCAAACGAGCAGAAACAGCTATTGCTTCATCTGCAACCAAACTGGGCAGATCAGCATTTTTATCTGATATCCACCCTTCGAGAGGGGGAAAATGCAAAAGGAAGGACTCCAGTGTCGATTCTCTCCTCTCCCCACTTTTAACTACTTTGCCTCGTGATCCCAAACCACATGGAGTGTTTTTGGCAGGGAACAAAGAGCATTTGTAGTCCTAAGTAGCAGATGAGCTCCAATGCTGCCCCTTTGCTGGCATCCAAAGTGGGGCCAGACTGTGCTAAGGCTGTCAGAACCCCACAGGCAGATGGGACCAGAATAATGCTCCTGGTTTCCTCACCCTGTGGTGATTTGCCTGGATAACAAGACCTGACCATCTCTATAACTAAAGCTGCATCAAACCAGCAAGGAAAGCAGCCAGCATCCAAGCCCAGGGTGGCCAAGTAGCCTGGAGAAGCGGGAACAGAGACTGGGATGGGAACATGGACACAGGCAGGCCAGCCCCAATCCCTCTATTCTTTCTGCTTGGTCCAAACCCCCCAGAGTGGCTCTGCTACCTGCCAGTTACATAAGTGGATACTGGGTTTATTGTTTGGTGGGTTGCTTTTGAATTCTTACTTTGATCTTTTATTTTTCAGATTAATTTCATTCTCTTTGTCAACATTTTAAGAATCCTGATGCGGAAGCTCAGCTCCCCTGAAAAACGGAGCAATGATTTCAACCAATACAAGTATGTCCCTTACATCTCTTATTCAAGGACACCTGAGCATTTCTTGCTCCTTCTACACCAGCTTTTCCTTCTGTTTCATTCTCAGGAGACTTGCAAAGTCAACACTCCTCCTCATCCCTCTCTTTGGGGTCCACTATATCATCTTTGCTTTTTTCCCTGAGGATGCAAGCAGTGGCACAATGGAAATTCAGCTGTTTTTTGAATTGGCTCTTGGATCATTCCAGGTAATACTTGACAAGCTATTATTTCTTTAAAATAAGGAAAAGAGGTAGAACATACAACTGTAACAGACTCGAGTTTCCAATGGCAAAGCCAAGCTGTCTGATTTCCCTTGAGATGCCTCATCCCCATTCAAAAGCTGAAACTGCAGTCCTGTGACCATGGTTCTTTTATCTTTTAGGGCTTTGTTGTGGCTGTACTTTATTGTTTTCTTAACGGTGAGGTGAGTTTTGTGTGTATAACATTCTTTTTTATTGCTGGAGCATGCCTCATTAATCAGTGGGATACATCCCCCAATGAATTACACCTTTTGTCTGAGGGCTTTCTTCCCAGCTACCTAACATCACTCATGAAATTCCTCCTAGACCTGGCAAGCCTAGGTAATTGTATGCCAGATGCAAACTTCACCTCTCAACTACTGTAACCCTTTAATAAATCAGATAACATTATTACTGCCTGGGAACTGAGGGTGGGAGCACCATCCTTCACACAGTCACACTGACAGCCAACTGGTTCTGACATATGATACCATTATCTGCCATCCCATCCATGGCTCTTTTATTTACTCAGTCCTTAGGAGGGAATTTATCAAAAGCTATACCCAGTCCAAGTTTATTAGGATTCTTATAAAGTAAGGCTTTTGGCAGAGGGATTGTTTCCTTTGTAGTTGCATGACAACTCCCAGGCTTCTGGGCTAGAATTTGCACCCTAAAATGTTGCTGCTGCTAGAGGTGGAGGGGAACATACAAACCTAGAAGATCTAAAGCTAATAGCTAATTGGAAGGACAAAAAAAAAGCAAACCAGTGCCTAAGAAAAAGTCACTTTGAAATGAAGGAAGGTTTTGAAATACTCTGACTGATCTTTCAACGGGGCTCAGAAAAAAGGGTTTTGAAAATAAAATCTGCCTTTTTTTTTTTTTAACCTTAGAGTGCAAAAATATCCTGGTTTTATATCTAAAATTAAAATTATGGAAAAATCTAAACCAAACACTTCCTAAGGCCAGCTAGATTCAATGAACAGTTTCACCTGCAATTACATATACAGTTGTGTGGCTGCAACAGCAGTATCACTAGAAGTGTCAAGAAACACGTCCTGCCTTAACCCCTTAAAATAGGATTTAAATAAATAAGCCCAAACCTTGGCAAAATGAACCCTCTCTCATTTTCCTGTTACACTGCTCCCTGCAGTGCAGGGTTCCAACATAAACTAGCTGAACTAAGTATTTTGTGACCTTTCTACCTAGGTTCAGCTGGAAGTTCAGAGGAAATGGAGGCAGTGGCATTTAAGCAAACATTGGCGTCAGCATCTCAGCACCTCGGCAAGTAACGGAGGGAGCGGCTTGACTCAAGAGATGCAGATAGTGAGGTCCAGCCCACAGGAGCACAGGAGAGGAACCCTCCAAGGGTCAAGTGTGCTTTAACCCTGTGCACCTGAGGGTACCTCCTCAGATACACATGGCTGAGTCCCACAGACTGAGCTGGGAGTCTTGTGTCCATATCCAAAGTGGGACTCGGCTGTAGATCAGCGGTTCTTGGAGCACATCTGTTTGTGTATATCCTGTGCAGCACCATGGTTAGTTTGCAAAGCAGAATGGGCCAAAATATTATGCTCTTCCTTGAGTTTCTGGCAACAATAATTTGTTTTTTCTTTCCACACCTGCTGCTAGTTCTACCTTAAATGTGACCTTCCATTTTCCATGTTGCTCTCCCACACGTTCCAGGCTAAATCAGGCTGGTGATTTTTTGATGTTCTCTATTTCTTCTGCTGCAGAAGCTGGGAGGACATTAAATTTTGTATGATGAAGGTTACATGACATCCTCCATGGGTTTGAAATGCAAAATTAATTAATCCCTAAATTTTATCAAGGTTCAAAGCCTTTCTGTTGTGGTGATGGATACTGAGAACATAAGGCACAGCTGAGCTCCAGTTTCCTCTCTGACTGCATAGCTATTGCTCCAGGGACAGTGGCAGGTTCAGACAGGTTTTTGCCATTGCCTCTTTTAACAGTGGAGACCTTGGAAACAACAGTGGTCCAATTTGGATATTTGTATAATTTTGAAATGGTAAAAAAGCTATAACAACATATTCCAAAGGTGACTATAAAAACTTCAGTAAGATAGCTCATCCCTGTTGTGTCTGTACCTCTGAGACTTGACCAGCTTGTATTTGAAGGGAAGAAATGAAAGCTCTTGAGACATCTAAAGCTCAGTTGAAGCTATCTGGTGAAAAGCAATACCATAGTGGCTACCAAAAATCTCTTTAGAGTTCACAGTCCCTCAGTGTACTGAAATCTGCAAGGCTGTGCACTGTAATACGCTGTCAAAAAGTATCTGAGCTATCACAGCTTTATACTCTTAAGGATATAATTAAGCAATTTTTCCTGTTTGGAATGAGAAAGGGATAAAATAATTCATCTGACAAAGTAAATCAAATCTCCTACTTGATTTTGTATCCAGATTTCCCTAGTTGGGGTGATTTTTGGCTGGGTTTCTTCAAGGGCAAACATAATTGAACCAAAAGCAAATGGTGTTTATTACTTCTCCCTCCTCCCGATCACCTACAAGACATTGGCAAAACATGCATGGCATGTCAAATACTGCCTAAGCAGCATTCCCTAACCCCCTCTGCCAAAACTGCTCCAACAACCTTTTAATCACACCAAATTCCTACTTGGTAGGCCTCTGCCATTTTATCAGAAGACAAACATGCAGAGAAGTTCAAAGGATACGTTCAAGCTTAAATTACCCGTACCAAAGCAGGTTTTTGAGTTCTGTTTGGAACTCTGAGATTCAGGAAAAAAAAATCTTTTTTTTCACTTGCAGTGCTGACAGTACCCTCACCCTCATTGATGCAGCAGGTGGGAGCACAGGGAGAGGAAGGACACTCAGCAGCAGGGAAAGCTCCATGGTGGCTCCAGCCTGCCCTGCCTGGTTGGCTTTCTTGGCTCATGCAGGTCACCCAGCAGTAGGAGAGTTGAACCTCGTTAGGACCAGGAAAAAATTTACAAGATGTAAAGCTGTAAAATGGCAAGCGTTTCAAGGAATTACTTGAAACTTCTATTTTTGGAAATGACAAGATTTCAAGTTTGTTTTGTCCTTTAAAAATCAGCCAAAACAAGTGGCAGGGAGAACAGAAGGAGGATCAGTCCCATGACCAAAGGAGAAGTGAAAGCCTCTCCATGAAGGTTGGAAGGAAAGATCTCACTTTTTGCTGACTCACCCAGGCCAAGCAGAGCCTCTGAACTTCTCGGGGGTTTACTCTGTCCCAGTGCATTTAGCAAGTCAGATACTTCCGAAAAAATGGAACCTTAATTTTCTCTCTGACCTACGAATGAGACCAAGAAGGATGAAACAACTTGTACGTGTCCTCTCTGAGAATTAAACATTCATCCTTCTAGCCAAAGCAGCTGTTTGTTTTAAAGGCAAGTGCCTCCTTCCAGCAGAAATGAAGAAATACAGATTCAGAGATATAATAACATGTAATTAATTAGATCTGATGCAATTATTGGCTCTCACACAAGCCAGTGTAAGAGCTCAGCCCTGCAGTGCACAGTGCTCCAGATCAGCACAAAATTAGGAAGAGCCCAGGCTGAGCATGATACCTATTTGTACAGGGACATACCATATGCCTCAGAACAAAATGCTGCTGGTTTTTATATTTTCGAACCCCCAGTTCTAGCATAAATTGTTGCTTTACATGGCCATTTTGGTTTTACTTGTCTTGCCTCAAATAACCAAGAAAAAGGAATTATTCCCAGATTCTGTATAATATGTTCACTTCAGGCATCATGTACAGCCTTATTTGTATGAAGAGCTGCGGCTCCATAAAAACTCCTGGATGTCAGCTGGCATTTGGAGTCCTCAGCTCTTGGAGAAGAGCACATCCACTCGGGAAGATACCAGAAGCAGGCAGCCCCTGGAGTTATGATGCTGTGACCTTGCCCTGGTTTCTGCTGGGCGTAGGAAGCTGCTGCCAAACACCACCACAGGGGAATGGGTTCTTACCTCTCCCATCTCCCGGGCAGGCACTGCAAAGGCTCCCTCCACTACTGAGATCTTGCCTGTTTAGCTGTGCTGGAGGATATTAGAGAAAAGAGCTACTTAGCTATGGGGACATTGACATGTTTATAAGCAGATGAAGAGGAACAGGAAAGCAGATGTCAGCGAGCAATGCGAAAGCAGGAGATGAAGGCACAGAGGGTGAAGACAAACTCCATATTCATAGAGCCCAGCCACTTCCCTTTCAGTGCACTTGCTCCTGGGTATTCAATGTAAAGCAGGTGGCTTTACCAGTAAATAGGACCTGAGTACCACCTTTCACACAAGTAGTTATCACTGATGTTCAGGGACACTGGTGACAGCCTCTGGCTATTCGGCCCAGGTGCCCTGAGGAGCCAGTTGTCCTGCGAGCCAGCACGGCAGGCAGCAGCTCCAGCACCCTGAGCAGCAGCAGCCTAACAGCTAATGAATTTAAGAGGAAATCATTAATGGATTTTTCTCTCTAACACGGCAAGAAGGAAGTTCCTAGCAAAACTGTCAGAAGCAAAAACCGATAGTTGTGCCGTGAATAATTACATTGTGCAACGTCTGGGTGCAGGGGAGCTGGGATGGGCTGTATTCAGGCAACACCCCTTCCAGGACACTGCCTGGGGCACACCTTGTTTTCATCCAGAAATTAGGCTTTTCTTGCATGTGCCAGCTGACTTAAATGTTGAGAAGAAGGGCCATTATCAGCTTACAATAGGCTTCAGCAGAGTCAAAGAGAAAGCAGGTGAGGACAGTCATGTAATACATCTTTATAATCACCTTTCTGTGGCTTGCAAAAGCAAGGAAGGCTCAACCCCATTCCTGGTGTACCTACAAGCATATGAACATACTGGAGATTTAAAATCAAAATAACGTGCTCTAGGGGATCCTGCTGGAGCAAGGATGCCGGACTAGATGACCTCCAGTGTACCCTTCCAACCTTAACTATTCAATGATTCTGGAAAAATACAGTCCAGGCAGGATACTTCCCTAGCTAGCATGCCCTGTGTCAACATTTCCTTATTCTTATCCACAGGCAATGGCTTGTGTACAAGTGTCCAATTAAAGTTAGTAACTAAGTCTAAACGGCTCATTAACAAGAAGTAATGTTCATTACCCTGCTTTTAAGAGATGTTAAACTGAGACAGACCAACTACCTCTCATGTTGGAAAGGGAACACCAGGTGCTAATTAACTTGAGATTACATAAACTAATTCAGTAGTGTAGCAGGGAAGCTATTTTCTTGACATTTAACTAAACCTGCTAATACAGTGAGTTCTGACAAAAACACATAAATACATTTGTACTCAGATACCACTTCTTGCAGGCTAAGCAATCAGAGCTGAGGAAAAGAGCAAGGATGGTTCAGACACGGGGTGCAGTGTGGGAACAGGAAGGTGAAGGACACAGGAAAGAGCTCTTTAGCTGGTAAACACAGCACATGCAACAGCAGGAAATCATTAAAGCGCCTACAAGGTTATCTCAAATTCCCACGAAGCAACACAGCTGACTGGCCCTGGCCCTCTTGTTTTGCAAGACAAGAAAGCAGTGCTGGCTTCTTGGGCTGGTGCAGACACAGGGGAGGGAAAAGGAGAGGAGAGCATGTGGTGGCTTCAGTTCCCTTGGCCAGAGCTTGGCAGAACACCAAGAAGTCATTTCTTCATCAGTTTAGCTGGGTAAACACGCAGAATGGTGCCTGGGAGATTATGTAAAAACCTGCACGTCCCCTTAAATCTGCACCCCAATATAAAAAGACAAAAAGAGTGAACTACAGTTCTTATTTCAAATCAATTTATTTAACAAACTTTAGGAATATTGCTTGACACTTCCACATGCTTCAGAAAATGAACAGTGACCCACTGCTGCACAACTTGCTCTATATAAGGATGTCTCCAAGACAATCAACTCTGTTTTGTAATATTTAGCTGTCAAAATGCATATTTTCCCAGCATAATTGAGCAGTACTACACATAAAAACAGTTGGGGAAGAAAAGTTACTCTGTTTTCCCTAGAGGATTCCCTACCCCCAACAAAAGGCTTCTTTCTTCAGCTAGCAGAGGGCATCCTAAAAATCATTACCAATTGCACCATGTCTAGGGTGAACTCAATGGCCAATTGTCCGGTCTCCCTCTAACCCAAGTGGGAGGCACCAGCCTGGAACCTGGTCTGGCCATGGCTGCCTTCCAAGGAAAGGGATGGAAGCACAGCCTCTCACCAGCTTGAGGGAATGTACACACAAGTGATTTCCAAGTCTGGATGGCACCAAAATGTCACTCTGAAGTTACATTCTTGTTTCTAGACAAGACACAGATACCCTTACTTGTAGGGGAACTGTTCTGCATGGCATGGGTACCTCAACTTTATCATTGGTTAGTTAAGATACACCTGGTAACACCAAAGTGCAGCAGTTTGGGACCAGGCCTTGCAGGGTCTCTTTGGCTTAAATGGCTCTGCTAAAGCCAAGAGCACCAGGTCACACAAGCATCTGCAAATTCAGCCCAGCAGAATGTGTTCAACAGTGCCATTCAACAAATCAAAAGCACCTTCACAGACACAGTCACAATGCAGTTTTCCAGAGACAAGTTAAGGGCACAAGTCCTTGATCTTGAGAACAGGCCAAGAAACCCCATGAAAGCCCCAAACAACACAAGAGCTTCAGGAGCTGTGTGGGTAGCACAGCTCTGCATCATCTTGACAGAAAGACGAGCAGATTTATGTGCAAAAGTACAACTGGCACTGTCCAGAACAAGCCAAGTCTGAACCTGCATTGCCAAACGGGCTTAGGAGTGTTGTCTTAAGTTACAGAAGTCCAACAAGGAATGGAGACTGTCCTCCTGAAAGCAAGTGAGTCCACAGGAGCACACTCATCAAAGCGTAGCACATTCAGATCAGGCACAGCTTAATATTCTTAGCTTTCAAAGACAAAGCTGTTTACTCATGGCTCACCTGCACAAGCTTTTTGCCCTCTGTGCTATGATGCATTTGTTTCAAGTGAAAAACTATGTCAAACTTGTTGCACAGGAAACTAGAACCTTGCTCAACAAAGTATAGGGATGAAACATACAGAAACATTTGTTCTAAAACAAGGATATAAGCAGCTTTACCGGTGGATGCAATGCAAACAGTAAACCAGAAAACCCGAAATACTCTGAAGACATTTTTAACTGTGAGGCACCGAGTGCTGCATGTTGGACAAGGAGAACACATGTAGGACAATCTACTCTACAAATGAGGTCTTCTCTCCTTTTACATAAGACACCATGTAAAGCTGTAGCAATTTTAGAGATCTTGACTCAGACATTGGCAGAAGGAAGACCAGCCTTAGTATAATAATTTTGGCCAGGTCTCTCAACACTTCTACCAGCGGTGACAGATTAGAGCTGCACCCATCAGCCCCT